GAGATTTACAACCAGGAATTTAGAGATGAGGTACGACACGCAAGCCGTATATAAAAACCACACAGCAGCAATTATGCACCATGCAAACAATCATACATAACATGCATAAAAATCCATATAGCAAGTTGCGCTCGCCCAGACCTAGCTTATTCTAAGAAAAATACACCACAAGCCTAAAAATTATCAAATAATTTTATTTAAGTTTATTTTAAAACTCAGAATAATAAGTCGGTAACAAACTCTTCTCAGAATAATACCTTAGCAATAGCTGACAAAGCTGAAAATGCAGCATCTCTAACCTCTAGTGTTCCATCACTTAGGCACTGCATGAGCAAAATTTCATAATTATAACAAAAATAGATGCCATTAACAAATAATTCACTCATTACATATATGGAGTATAAACAAAGAAAAACTAAATTCTTTATTTTTAATCGGGTGCATTGCAGTCTCTAAATGAAATAGTGAAGGACTGTTTCAAATTTTAGTCAACAGCATTAGAATTAAACAGTTTATGTGTTGTGCATAAAAGTAAAGCTTTGCGTCATTTGGCCCTTGTTAGGGACCAAATCTAGAACAGCCTTTGGTTTGATTTGAGTTCTGAATATCCGGTGTGATCAAAACAATAGTTGACTAGATTTGGAGTGGGATCCTATTAAGATATATTCCCACTCCCCAAATCCTAGTTGCGAGACCTTACTGATTTTTTCTAGTATTACATAATAATGTCAAAAGGGATGTGAAAATATATTTTTTAAAAATACTGCCACCGTTCCAAAATAGATGTTATTATTCCAACAACGTGCAAAATCCCATCACTTTTAAAATCCTTTTTATGAAAAATTGGTATATAAAAGAGAAGTACTCCCTCCGTCCTAAAACTATCTTCTCACATTTTTTTCCGGGCAGTCCAAAAATTATCTTCCCATTTCAATAAATAGTAAATAAATGAGTGGTAAAAGTCATGTTTGCCTTTAGATTCTATTACTCTGTATTTCTCAATCGGCCCTTCCTCAACATTTTCTCTCCCACTCCATTCCTCTTCTATTTCTCTCAAATTTTGTCTCCTCTCTAATTCTCTCTCACTCTTCATCTTCCCCAATTCTTTCCATTCTCCCTTCACCTCTTCATCATATTTGATGGATGATGTGACAAGGGTGGCTCTCCCAATTATTTGAAAGATCCAAGCTAAGTGAGCTCAAAAAATGATTGATGACCCCCGGTGATGATTGATGAGCGCACTCCAACAATGTCCTTGCGGTAAATCTCAAAATTGGCCTCTGTCGCAGATCTCATTTGTGTTGGAATCAATTTATCCAAAAGAAAACCCACCATGATTGGTCAACAAGAATTTAGGGAATGGAGTTTAGATGTATGGCGCATATATATGGATTGGATTGTTTGGAAATGAAACCAGATTCAAATTGGAAGATATTCTTCCGAAACCACATTCAGATTGGTGGATATTAATCGGATGGAGTAGAAAGAGTATTTTTGGAAAGTCAACTCCATTTTTACACACCACTAAAAATAAAGCCCAGTCAAAGCAGAAAATTAGTTTTAGGACTGTAAGTAGAAATCATCAAAAGTACTACAATACAAAAAGGGACAAGAATACTTCATTTTATCAAATGAACAATGAAAAGATACAAAAAAACAAAATGAATCTCTTGGCCCCCTTGGCATGACTCCACATGAAAAATGAACACTGTTTTGGAAAATGATTTTAAATCCATAATCTTGTTTTACATGTCTTGGAAACTGCCTCTCTACTTTCAAGCATGACTAAGGTCTATAGACACACTCTCTCCCCATACCTTTTATGATTTTGTCAGATTGCTGTTGTAATCTAGTTTTACATGTCAACAAAGCATGAGAAGGTGCCACAATACATGAGCTTATATCAGAAGTCATAAAAGTGCTAAATGCAAAAAATATAAAAGATATATATTACTCCCTCCGCCCGGTATTAAAGTAACCATTTTGACTTTTGTTCATTTTCATGGGAAGTTGGCTATGGTGCAATTTGATTAAAATGCCCTTCATGTCCTTCCTTTGTCAGTCTCGCCAAACACAGCCCCCAACCACTACCG